AGGAAACTGTCTGCAATCCAAGCAGCATGGCAAGGGCTTTCTGGCACTTCACTGAGCTGAGGCCAAAGGCTTATTTTCAAGGCTGAAAACTACACAAGATACAAAAGGCAAGGAACAGCGCAAACACCAATGCCGCATGCTGCCCCAGGCTCAATCCTGACTGGAGGAAATGGGGAGCAGAGAACTTTGTAGGAGGGGCAACTGCATGGTGAAGTGGCTTTAAGAAGCAGTAAGTGACCCAAAATCATTGACAACTTTCTGCACTCAACAACTTGAAGAAAACTTAACTTGAGAATGTCACATTTCTGTATTTTTTAACACTATCTCCAAAAGACTTGGGCAAATTCCTGGGCTGATAAACTATGTCCACTGATTTCACATGCTTATAAATGTTCCACTAGAGAGAAATGTAGAAGTAAGTACCAAGATAAAGTTAGCAATGTCTTGTCAAAGGATGGAATGCAAAATCTACTTCCTTTCGGTGAAAACACACATGCCTCATCAGCTGTGGTTCCCAGCACTTCACCAAATCAATTGTTTGGTGTCACAGACACTGGAAAGAGCATGCAGTAAATACAGCCAGTGAAGACTGAGGCTGGATATTCCTAGCAGTCAGGATGGGCTCTCCTGACTTAAAGACATCATGTTACCATCTTTCCATGTCTGGCATAGCTTTAGAGTAGCCTTGGCTACTTGGATGCAAAGTAGCTCTCACATGGCTCCCTGCAGGCCTCCTGTAATTCCTGCTACTTTGCCAGTGTCCCACAAATGGTCTGTTTGATCAGCAGAAGACCACAGCTCGTATAAGGCACAAAGAAACAAAGAGACACTTACTGCACACCTGCTGAGGACATAAGCGCCAGCTCCCAGTCCAATCCCAATGAAGCTCTTCAGGCTGAAATACAGGCATTTCACAATCAGTAAGGCTAACTTAAGCTCACAGCTGAAGCATCCCTAGAGGCAAAGCCTTTCCCTTCTCTGCATCCAGCTGATCACTTCTGGTTCATTTTCAAAACAATCCAGCAATGAAGCAGCAGCCATAAATTGTCTCATATGGCAGACAATGTTCCCAGCACAAGAATCAGACGGGGTTACAAAGGCTAGGAGATGCTCAGGCCTCTTGGGACAAGAGAGCAAGCATATCAGATGTTGCAAGCAGATACAGAAGTAGGTGCTGGAATGGCTGTATCCAGCTGGCTCACCCCATTTCCTTTCAGAGACTTACTTCAGGTGCGTCAGAACAGCGGGCAGCATTTCAGCCAGTTCATCCATACTGGGATACTGGTACCTGAAAACCAGGAGAGACTGAAATCAGAGAGCCTCCAAATACAGCTCAAGAGAAGTTACCTTCCAGTTCTACCCAAAGTAGGAGAGACAAAGAATATCTGACAGGTATCTGTATAGGTGATTATTTTGCAACGATACTGTATACTCCAGCCAACTGCATGGATCCCATCCCTCAGAGCTGTGGTTTTTTGGGCAGTCAGACTTCTGTGAGAGGATGGACAGATGGAGCACGGAACACCAGCTAGACTGTAGTGTGCTGGGCTCATGCTCAAGCCAGAAAGCTGGTACCAGCACTCACCACTAGTGAGGGCCTTACCCATGCCTCAGTGATAGGAGAGTTCCCTGAATGCCCCTTGGGAAGCCTCCTCATCTTCCCATTTCCTCTACTCCTGAAAGCTGCCTCCCACCACATTCAGCCTGGCAGTCCCAGCTGCCTTAAACTGGGTGCTGCCCCAGTCCAGACCACACCTGGAACAACAAGGGTCTCTGCAGAGCTCTTACCCAGATGGGAATGGGGGAGCTCCTTCCTGCTGGCCTGGTGCATCCACATGGCACACAGCAAAATGCTGAGTGATCTCTTGCATGTCTTCAAAGTTAAAGAATGCATTAAAACAGGATTTGTCTACAACAACAACAAAAAGAAATTAGACTTTTCCTGAAGTTTTATTGTGATCCACCCTCCAAACATGATGACACACACGTGCATGAGCCATCCCCCTGCTCAGTCTGCGGGGCAGTGGATGCCGGGTGATGCACGACGCTGCCGTGTCCCTCTGACTGCGACGCAGCAGCGAGCCCTGGCAAGGTAACTGCCACGGCCGGAGGACAAGCAGACAAGGGACACCCTGGTGTGCACACCCAGGAAAACTGCACCTGAGTGCTCACAGGACATACCGAGGGGCACCTGTGTGAACATTACAGTACATGCTGGGTGGGAGGACGTGAGCCTGCTACAAACATCACACTACTGCAGCCTTGTAGAAGGGACTTGCTCACCTGCCCAGCATCCAGGGAACGGATGCCTTGTGGCAGCTCTATCACACAGTGCAACAAGTCAGCTACAGCATTATAGTGAGGACCAAGTGGACCTATTTCCACCTTTCCACCTTGGCCATGCCTTTCAAGGGCTGTTGGAATGGACAGGGGCATGCCACACGCCCTCTCTCCTGCAGGCCTTTATCTTTTTATCCTTGAATGGTCTGTCCTATCTCAGCTCCAGGCCAGTCCCGCTGGTCCCCACACTCGAAAGCAAATACCACAAACAACCACTTTTTCAGGGTCCTGGGAATGCAAGGGCTTACGGTTGAGGCCAATATCATGGTATGTAAGGATGACGGGTCTGTTCCCCTTGGGTGTGCCCCGCATGGTGACATGGACCACTCCGAAAGCTGTCTCGATGTCATGTTCCTGTGGAGAGAGAAGAAGGAGCCCCGGTGTCAGGTGTGCTGCCTGGGCTACAAGGAACCCTAACAGAGGGCCAGCAGCAAGGGCCTCATCCCCACTTTACCACGGCTCTCCTGTCCATGGCTGGTGACTCAGCACAGCTCTTGCAATCTGCAACCCTGTCGAATCTCTCTCTTCAACCACTGGCAAAAGCAGGCTGCTTTTGTACAGATGTGTGAAGGGTTTGGGGCTGTGTCTTCCTGTGACCAAGATCTCACTTCAATGGCCTGTGGTGACATTGCTGCACCGTAGCAGAAGCCGGGGGTCACGTGTCCATCTGTCTCTAGGGGTTAAGTGCATCACGAATGCTGCTCCAATCCCACAGGCAAGCCCTCGCTCCCCAGCTGGCATCTCTCCCTCCAACCCTCCAGCCCAGAGGTCTCTGTCAGTGTGCCTCCAACCCAGACCCCTGGGAACGTCCTGTCTGCAGGCCAGCTGATGTGAGGGGACACACTGGCAGCAGCCCCAGCCCCTGGGGACCATGTCCCAGAGCATTTTGGAAACAGGATGACAACACAGAGCAGGCAGATGGCTGGGACAGCAAAGCGACCCAGGCTGTGCAGATCCAGCCACTGCCTGCCTGGGAGGTTGTACCCATCTGCAGGGGAGCGGGTGGCAGCTCTTCCCTTCAACAGCATTAAAAATGAAAGATACAGATCCACACTTCCCTGCTCTGCTGGGCTGCTCACCTACTGCAGACCCACCTTGGCCATTTGGCCAAGAGCCCATCAGATTCTGACCCAGCAGATTCGCTGCAGCTTGGCCCACAAGCCCTGACTGCTCACCCCAGGTCAGGTTGAGCACTATGCCTCAACAGAACGTTTTTTCCCTGCTAACGAGGTTTTGTAATGTGACAGTAAAACACCCTGAGGCTCCTCCAGCAGCTGGCACAGGAGGTTATGGTGGTTTCCAGCTGGGTATCAGCGGAGCAGTTCCATGACCTGTTTCATGATTATTTGCCAACAAAATGACGTGCCTCTCCCCATGCGAAATATTGAGGGCTTTTTGCGCTGTGCCTTGCATAAGAGAGCAAGAGGAGCACGAGGCCTCTGGTTACCTCTCCAATACTTGTCCATTGCAGAAACAGAAGCCACAACCTCACAATGACAAGCACATAAGTGCACACGAAGTTGTCTGAGTTTTACTAAAATAGCTGCAAACACATTTAGACAAACATTGATGTGGGATAACTTTGGAAATGCTGCAGAAGTGGCAGTATGGCTCGGTACACAATGTCATCTGTAAATTCTTTCATCTACAGAAATCAAAGGAGAGACATGCTCTGTCTCTGACTTACAGACCCTGTTAAAAGCACCAACTATTTTCTTGGTATTAAAAAAATATTTTTTACTAGTTTACACAAAGTATGTGGTTTGTTGGGCTTTTTTTTAAAACAGTAATTTCCAATAACCTGAAAGTGGCAAGACCAAATACAGGACAGGTAAGAGTACCTGGCCTGCAGCATATCAGAAATTCATCTCACTCCTCCTTCCTGGGCACTCCCAAGGGCTGGCTGTGGGCCAAACTGATTTAGTTCTTGCAGTGAAAGATCCCCCTGCCCCAGCTGTACTTCCTTGTAGGGCCCCAACGGCTCTCCTCTTCTCCCAGAAGTGTGGCAACAGGAGCAAGCTGCCGCTGCCAAATCACCCGAGGTAGCCTGAAGCCTTCTCCCACTTGGCTTTGAAGGATAAAACAACACCTCTGACCGCCCTCGTCCTCAGAAAGGGGTTGGGTTTGACTTGCAGGCAGCTGTTGTGCTGTGCCCGTGGAGAAGCAGGAGCACCTCCAAAGCAGCAGTGACCTGTCTGCACTAGATGCAGGCAGAGAATAGGGCAGGTGAGGTTATCCAGCCTGATGCTTAATGGGCTCCCTTCTCCTTAGGACGGTGCTGTGGGCCAAGGAGCCTTGTGCAGGTGTGTGCAAAGCGAGCGTGGGTCCCTGCAGCAGGGGTGCAGCAGGAAGCTCAGGCTGCAGCCTCTGTCTCCTGAGCTTCTGGGAAACCACCCGGCTCTGACCCTCGTCCACCTTCTCGGCTCTCTGGGCTGCTCTGCTGAGCTGGGCAAAGTCCTGTTTCGTGCTCCAGTGGGACGTGCTGTGCAGCCACAGCAGTGCCCTCATTGTAGGGTTCTCCACACCTGCAGTTGTTACCGAGTCCTTTAACAAAAATGGCAACTTTTGGAGGAGGCCGAGGGCAGTGACTGGCAGTGCATGCAGCTGAAACGGCCACATGGAAAAGTCCAGCAAGTGTCAAAGCAGCCAGAGCTTGCAACCCCTGGCTGCACTTCCCT